CATCATTAGTTAACTATTACATCAGAATACATAATTTCCTTCACTTTCAGGGACATAGATATCAAAATTAAATGTTGATTTCCCTGCTGTTAAAGATAAACTATACATATCTGTACCGTATGACATGGTTGGGTTAAACAAGGAGCTATTGTTGGTCACCAAAATAAGGGTACTTACCTGTTTACAAGAAACTGAGTCATTAAATGTTGCTAATGCAGCACCTCGAACTTGAGCTAAATCCATAATACATTCTACTAAATCTAATATAAATGTCAGCTTAGCCATAATCTCATTGTGTTCATCCTGTAAAGAAGACAAAAACATATCAGTCCACCATTTTGTTTTCAGCCATTTTGAATTTTGAAAATTTCTACAAACAGGCTAAAGCTGATTTAGGTACAATCAGACAATGTAGAAAAAATAGCAGCAAGCCAAAATAGAGGGTTCGAGAGAATTTTTTTAACATAATTGGCTATGCGCTCTTCCATTGAACACAACTTAAAAGGTTTTATGTTTGATAACATTTCAAATTTTCCCGATCAATAGTTTTTGATTTAATCCTGGTTTCATAAATTTATTATTAGCGTTTATTACAAATATCAAAATTCACTTACATCCATTAGAGTTTCTTCACATAATTCAGGTGCCACAAAGGTTATAGGACCCTCCATGTTGGGCGGTGATTGAGCATAGATCCCTGTAACCGGGGGAGACATATCTATTAATGAACTCCTTCTAAAATATGACGAGGACCTCTCTCTTTCTAACGAAGACATTTTATCTAGACTCTCTTTACTGTTAGATCTGACACTGGTAAATGGTACCACACTACTTCCTGTAATGGTGGGAAAAAAGAACAATTAATATTTGTACATGATGATGGTCTATCTACTGGCATATTAAAGACAAATAATATAAACAAAGCTTAATGAGTCAGACACTTGTTTGATTACATCAAAATCCATTCAGCCATTAGTCAAGATAATGCTTTCAGATTTTTGAATCTATTTTCTCCCAGTCAGTGATGCAGATCAGACGGGCTTTCTGGGAAAAACTGTCTTGTTGATCAGATTGGACAATAAACTGAGGCCCTGTGTGCTATAGGTGTGTATGTTAATGATCCCTCAACATACAAACATCAAAATAGAGTAGGCTTATGCTTCTGTCTTAACAAAGTTTGACTAATTGTACAATCGGACGCAGAGAAAGACGATGCAATTTCCTTTCAAATTAAAGGTTACCCATTTCGTATTTTGTAATTTGGTGACATAATTCAAGGTTTGAATTACTTAATCTAGAGCCTTGAGCTTTACATTGAGAGAATATTCAGATTATACCTTAAGAGTGACAACAAGAAAAGCAAAGAGCTTGAAGGGGTGATTTAAAGCAGTGTAAAAAGTCAAAAGAAAAACTGTGTGATGACGTACCTGGTGTTTGGTGAGAGAAAGCAGCTCGTAATAATTGTTGTGATAATAAACTGGTACCTTTAACTAATGAATCAGGTTCAGTATTTGATCTATGGTATTCTAATCTCATGTTATCTGTTGGTACTGAAAAAATATATTAATTGGCTTATAACATTAAATACTGCCTAACTGTCCAGTGACCCAAATATTTTTTTAGTGACTATAATTGTAAGAAATATGACCAAAAAAAACTGTGCCTATAATTAACTCCAATTGATAAAAAATTTCATCATTTATCAACAGTTTGAAATAGCAAACCAGTAGGATGATCCCTTTCACAAAATTTCCCTCATTGAGCACCGAATGATGTTGCCCATCAACTTAAAGAGAAAAGACAGACATCTACAAAGCTTCAGAAAAGATTTGCATAAATGGACAAAACTCTGTATTAAGTATTTCAGTACTGACAGTTTAAAGAGAGAAATTACCTTCATGATAAGCAATAGCAGCCATATTATCGGGAACAGTTTGTGGTCGATTAAATGCAAATGGAGCATTGACTGGTTGATTAGCTAATAGATCAGGAGTAGGATTAAAATTAAAAGCATCAGTTAATTTATTAGGAGAGCCTAAAATAGTAGGCAAGCCACTACCACCACCACTTGAACCAAAAGGTAATGGAGATACCCTTGGAGATGATCCTAATAAAAATAAAGATAGCTCCTTTAGAGAGTTGCAGGATGCAAAAAGTCCACATTCTTAAAGATTCATGCTGAGGGCATAGAATAAGAATAGAAAGAAATCATTTCATCAAATATTGATATAGCAAACATGTATATCTTAGCATATTTAAAAAAAAACCCCAAAAATAACGAAAGTTTGACTTCTGAGAGCCTATAAAGCATTTTAAATAAAGTTATTTTTCAGAATAGTATGACCATAAGATGTAATTAAGCCCCATATAAATCCCATATAAGCAGAAACTTCATAAAATAGAACACCTTGCCCAATCAAATCTGGGAATATATATTTGATGCACTAACCTGAAGATCTACGAAGTGGTGAATTAGTTACACTAGGTGGTGTACTAGAGGTTCGTAAAGGTGGTGTACCGGTACTATTTCTCTTCCACTGACCAGTAGTAGGAGGTGTACCAATAGAAAACTGAACTATAAATAGAAATTTGGACATGAGCACTGAAATTTTGTATTAAGACTTAGCCAAACAGAATTGGTATTCTGAAGTCACGCTTTGAAAATCCCACATACAATTGTGTTCCCAAAAATAGTATTTAAAGTGTTCATGCAACAATAGCCAGTCATGTCTGATTGGAAACTTAAATGTCTTCAGGACATATTGGTTTCAAGGACTTTTTCTAAATTGAGTCAGTCTTAATGGAATTTTTTCATATTTTCATTGTGAATAATATGGGACAAAATTTAAATGAACTAAAATCTATGAAAATATTAAAGTAACCACAGCCATACGAACCTGAAGGTGGAGAAAGAGAACCTATATCAGGTCCAGATAATAAATCACTATTTCTTTTATTAGATGTACCTTTCTCTACATGCTAAAATATACAATACATACAGTTGACAAATTTACTGTTAAAATTCAATATTCTATGTAGCTGTATTATACAAATGAAGCGAGACCTTTTCCAAATTCTTTAAATGGACATTCATATGAAATGATTTTAAGATATCAGCCTATAGTCTTTAAGACAAACAGTACCATTATGCATTGTACAAGGAAACCAATTTTCAGCAATGCTGCTCCAACTCAAAGGGATCTTAAATGTACACAGCCTTTGGCACACAGAATATTTTTTTTTTTTATCCTAAGACTAGATGCTTTTTTCAGGACTTTTCTTTTTGTTTAATATTTGTGCTCGATTTAGGCATGATTATAACAATACTTACCAGTGGATAATCTGGTGAAGACATAATACGTTTGATACTAGGACTAGTAGGGGAGATAGCTGGTATTTTACGGTGTTGACGTATCTGTGACGGTACAGGAATAGGATCTGAAGGTGTTGTTGAGGTAGTAGGACTAGATACACCCAAGGTTATAGGTCGACTAATTGGACTAGTCTGAGCATCACGACGAAACGTGACTGTGCCTGCTGATGGACTAGCTCTGACTACACTTAATGATTGAGGTGGTCCATCACTGAAACAGACGAAAAAGAATTGTTTTACATTCTGCAATGCACCTTATCTTGCTTTCTAAGACATGCAAGACCATCCCTATTACAAGGTGCATTGGAATCAAATCAGATTCAAGAATGATTGTCCTCATTATAATATACCACTTGGCCAGACAAGCAGACGTCAATTTATCAAGGGAAAATATCCAGCTTAATTCTAGTTCAACATTCACAATCAGCCAGCATTTTACATTCAAAAGCTGAAAGTTCAAATTATCTGATTATCAGACTCTGATAATGTAAGTATACACATACCTAATAATGTCCATTTCTTCTTCAGCTAAAGGAGCTGTGCCCATATTATGATCACTAGGTAAAGCTGGGGGAACTAAGACAAAATCCTGAAAATAGATCAATGAAATAAGTTTGAAACAGGAACGCAGAGATCACAAACACAGAAGCAAAGTGGCATCAGGTGTTCAGAAAGGGTGGAGATGCAGTGAAGCTCATGATTGTTAGAACCTATATTTAGAAAAATGATTTTCAGCCTGAGATACGTACATCAGGACTCCTACATCTTGGTCGTCTGTTTGTTTCCTTTTCTACTTTTAAGAACTCATCTTCATGTGAAAATACATCATCTTTCTAGAAATGAAGATAAAAGTACATGTAGTGCTAATTTATCCAGTTGGCATTTTCCAAATTCAGAAAAAGTAGTTCATATAACTTTTTGAAAACAGCATACATGAACTCTTTTCCATTTGATGCAACAATGCAATATGCGCTTAACAATACCAAGTAAACAATGTTTTATCCATGTGGACTCTCAGAAAGAGATACATAGTTGACAAACACAGTCATGGAGTGACATGAGGTGTTAGCTTTGCAAGAAACAACCAACAATGGTATTTAGTATATGTTGTTGAGTATGATATCCATAAGTATTGAGATGTACCTGAGATGGTGAAGCAGTAAATTCCATATGACCAGAAGATGGTGATGATATAGTATGTTTACCAGGTGTAGAACTATCAGAAGAATAGGTTGGACTTCTAGTAGGTACTGGTACTGGAGATGCTAAATAAAACAGAGATAACAATTATAATCCACTCGTATAAATTTACATAATATAGTAATATTATGCTTCTCAAATACCTCTTGTTACTTTTTGACCTTCCATGCTAATTTTAAAATATTAATCTAAGGATTCAAAAATTATTTTCTTTGAATATGTCAGGGAATCTTATAGCTAAATTTCAATAATTCAGAGTTTCCATACAATGTCTGCAGTTCCTGTAATTCAAACAAAAATTGACCAGATTGTTGATGCTACCCAAGCGAAATGGTATGTCGATAATGGCGCCATAATGTTATTAAGTTCTTCTGTACTTTTTAATCTTATAGCTACTGAACGAAAGAGAAGCTAGTAAAGTGTTGCATTACTTACATGTAACTTTGTTAACAACTACAGGAGGTTTTAAGAATGGATGAATAAAAAAATCATCAAATTCTATTCTATCTTTAGCATTCCTTTTTAATAATTTTAATAGTAAATCTTTTAATTCAGCTGATGTAGATTGTGGTATACTGAAATGAGATGATGGTAAATAAATCTCAATAAAGAAAGGGTCAAAACAGGCAGAAATGAAACATGGAGCAAGTTATCTATATTGCCATTACAAGGAAATATAAATTAGAAAAATCTATTGGAAAAAACAAAGAAGTTTTATAAAACAATAAAGAAATTCATTAGAATTATTGGAAGAAATCATTTAAATGAAATAACCAATCTTAGCCCAAAGTTGATATGCAAAACAGAAGATGAGCTCGAGTCAATTAGCCATTCACACGGGTCTTCACAGTCTAGAATATTCCCATAGCTCGCTTCTCACTCAATAGGTTGCTTTTTTTACTTGTAATAGTCATACTAGTTGAAATGATACATACTTTGGTTTGAGTTCACTGTGTTTTTCATAAAACTGTTTTAACTGTTGTGGGGTCTGAGCTTGAAAAGGGGCTTTCCCTGTTAAACATTGGAAGACTATAGTACCTATACTCCATAAATCTGCTTTAGCATCATATTGTAATGACATTATTACTTCTGGTGCCTACAAAATACAAATTAGTTAAAATCAAATCATTGGTTACGAAATACAAATTACAAAATAGTCAAAATCAAGTCAATGGTTACAAACAAGTCAAAATCAAGTCAAACTAGTCAAAATCAAGCCAAAATCAAGTCAATGGTTACAAACTAGTCAAAATCAAGTCAATGGTTACAAACATGTCAAAATCAAGTCAATGGTTACAAACTAGTCAAAATCAAGTCAATGGTTACAAACTAGTCAAAATTAAGTCAGTGGTTACGAAATACAAATTACAAACCATGTTCACTCACATTCCATAATTATTATTTTTTAACAACAAAGGGCAAATTTTTCAAAACTAATAATCCCAGTGGAATATTTAGTTGTTAAATGATATCAAAACATAGAAATGTCAAACTTAAAATATGTGAGTATTGCAAAATATTTTAGATTCTTAACATTCCAATTAAATTTGTCAGATCATTTGTTTATCTATATAGAAATATGAATGACTGAACTTCTTACAAATCAATATGATTCACAATCAACAATACCACACATAAATCAATACAATCAAGGTAGATAACTGATGACAAGTTCAAAATTATTTCCCTTTGACTAATACTTGATTTATAGGGGGTCGTTTGATTGGTGAGTTCTGCACGTTCAGGATTCATAGAATCAACTGGACATTCAATAAACTGGTTGGAACAGACGGAATTCAAAATAGTGGAGAAAAGAAAAGAAGGGAAAATTTTGTATGTGACATAATCCGATTCTATACCTTGATTGAGGGCAGAATTGAAACTGATGGAACCCATGCAGAACTTCCCAATCAAGCCCCACCTAGAATTATGGAGTATATACATACCATATACATAGGAGAGCCACATAAAGTAGCTGCCATAACTCCATCTTGTAAGAAACGAGCAAACCCAAAATCAGCTGAAATTGAAACAAAATATTTTTATTTGCTAAAAAAATTAGAACTATTAACTAACAATTTCTACTTTTAGCAGTTAGAATGGGTAATTAACAGTTGAAAATTGAAAAAGAGTAGGCTCATGCTGCTGTCCTGGCGAGTTTTTCCTCATTGCTCACTGCATGATATTGTTCATTTTCATCAGCCCAAACAGGTACAAAAGTAGGAATTTTTTTTATCATAAACTATCTATAAAGAAGGCTCAAAAATCAAAACTATTACTTAGGGCTTTTGACTCATCAACTGATAATCCAGAAGTGAATGAACCAATCATAATTCAAGAATTTGCTCAGTTAGAATGTTTTCTAACCAGCCTCAGATCTAAGAAAAGGTTTATCAAATCTCACCTATTTTCAGTTTAATATCATTAGCTTGAGGATTCTTCTTCCCAACATGACACAGTAGTATATTTTGAGGTTTTAGATCTCGATGTACAATACCTTTACCATTCAGTGCTTTCATAGCAGCAGCTAAAATACACCAAGAATATAATTGTGGGATTTATCTTTTAAATTGAGAGTATATCAATTTTTTTAATCCTTAAAATGCAGAATTTTTAAATATGGCAGAAATATTGAAGAAATGGGTATAAAGCTCATGGTTAAGTTCATAAAACAAGGAATAGTCCTCTACTAATAGTAATGGAAAAACAAAGTGATTTAATATCAAGTCTGGCAGAAAGAATTTAGAAACAATTTAATGGTATTGATGCACTCCAAATGGATATTTGTTCATCTTTTTTTGGCTGTTTTTAATTACTTAAAATCAACCTATAAAACCATAAAATTTGAAAATCTGTTAAAATTCAGTTCTTATTTTTTAATTTTAAGATCTTTATCAACATCAAATTATATTGATAGAATACCACTAATGATCTATTCATAAAAATATCAACTCATCAGTATATACAGTTTTAACCCCTAGGCTTTAATAATTTTATATCAAGTTCTGTTCACACTGTCATAAATCCGAAAAAAATATAACTGTACTCATATTTTCTTTATGATTAGATACTATTTCAGCTTATCTTAGCACTTTTCAGATCTAAAATATTACATCTGTTCACTAACAATTCAACATATTGGAAGTTAAGACAAAGCATCTACAGAACATTTTTGCTGAATTGTAGAAGATGCAGATGTTGGATTTTAATTCTGAAAAGTTCATTCTCGGTATATTTAAAATAGACAAGAGCAATCTGTATTGCTTGAAGCAATTTTCAGATTTCTTCAATTGTGTCACTAAATTGTTACTTATTACTAATCATACTAATTATAATAAATATCAATGACTTTCCTTCATTCCTTACAACATAGTTCAATAATGAGTTTTTAATTAAAATATAGCTGATTAAAATATATTTCAAATTTAGAGATTTTGAATTTAAATATTACTGATTAAATATTTTTTTTTCAATTTTAGAGATTTTCAACTAAATACAAACTATGTAACAGCCTTTATGACCATTCAATAATTTTTCAAGCCTTGAAGTTGAAATGAACATGAAAGCTATCAGTCACTGTGGTCAGTCAAATCAAGTCATGGTCAGTTTGCTGTGGGGCAATTAATTTTTGACCAATAAATTTTCTTTTCTGTCAATATTAACATTATCTGATGTCCTTAATTAACTGCAGAATTTAAGTAAGATCCAAAGCCAGTGGGAAGTACAAATGTTTTCAGTTTTAAAGTTGTTAATTCCTTTAAGGAGGCATTCATATATAAAGTACAGGCAAAAGATTGATGATTTTTCAACCTTAAATTCGATATGAACACAGAGCACCTTGTCACCCAGACAATACAGTATATAGGGATAAAAAGATGCATTGTGCCATTTATATCTCACAACAGATGCTCGTACACACTTGGATGTGAACAATTTTATAACATTCATAAAGAAAATTACCTATTTGCCTTAATAACACAACTATTGTATCTTCACTCAATGTTCCTTTAGCTAGAAAATAACAAAATATGAAAATATAAGTCATCATAGAGCTTATCAGGAAAGCTCTAGGTAAAATAAAAGGTAACTGAACTTAGAGCCACAATTTATGTTCATTACCAGTAAAACATTGGTCTATTTGTGGCCATGTTTTGATATGTTCAAGAATAAACTTATCTCTGCCAATAAAATACTTCTAAAAAACCTAAAATATATACTTACCATGTAAATAATCTGCTAAGTCACCCCCATTACAATACTAAAATTAACAACAAACATCAATATTTTCATTACAATTCACATAAACATAATAACACTACAATGTTAGGTCATTGTCAACATTACATAATAGTGATAACATAACAATGTTATGATGACCAAATTTAGACATGTTTTGTAAACTTACATCCATATGTTATCAAAACTCAATCTATTTCTAAATGTTGAGATACAAAAACAGAATTGAAATAATCATAAATAAGAGCAATCACGTAGGTCATAGGGATGGGGAGGGTGATGTGTGAAATGGTCCCTATCGTCACCTACCTACAAAAGGCATCAATGCAACTGACCTTGTTGATTTAAATTTATAATTCAACATAAAAAAGTAAGCTTAAATAAAAATTGTAGCTAACTTACCTCCATGACAAGATAAACATGATTGGATGTTTCCTGTAAGAAAAAAAGAGAAAATTAAATCAAAAATCAATTAATAATGTAATTAAAAAATTACCAACTGGAAGGATAAGCATTTGTGAGGCTTATATTTGAATTTCAAATCTATTATGGTTAAAACATTTTTTGTCTTTACCAGGAATAGTCAAATGTAACATTTAAGATGGTACTATCAATAAATGATTATGAAATTGGCTTATTATGTAACATAATATATTAAAGGTCATATACTTTATGTAACATAATATTAAATATCATTTCAGTACACTTAATGGCACATCAAAACCGTTAGATTAATGTAATTCTCCATTTTTTATTCTAATTTCATGACATTTACATGAATTTTCTCAATTCACATTTATTGCCGTTGAATTCTTTTCTTAAAGGTTATGTAAGCTTACATCACAAAATTGTTTGTTAAAGTGTCCATATAATTTGAACATATATGGAACCAAAATCAATATGTCCTAGCCTCACTCAACACTGCTTATTTCTACTACTAGTCTAAGTAAGCATCTAACTTAGGTTATTCAGATTCAAAAGCTATTTTCAAGACATTCAAGTATCTGTATCTAGGACACTTAAAACTTTTATTTGCACATTGAGCCATTTGTAATCTGAATGATAGTCAAAATGTTCTTCAGATTCCTTGAATCGCAACACATAATCAGATATAATCTATATACAATGTCTCTGATGCATAAGCTTATACTAAGACTAAAAAACCTCTTTTGTTTCCCTTTAATGAGGGTATTATATGTGCTTATCATTTTGAACTTTGGTCTTATAAAAACCATTACATGTATGTATTCTGAATAAATTAGTTCTGTTTGATTGCTGATCAATCTGTTCATTCAACAGAGACTTGTTGACAAACAAAAAAACATAAACAAAGAAAGGTAAACAAACTGATAAGACAAATAAAAACTTAAAAGTAAGAGTTTAGTCCATGTGGATATGTAAATACAGACCGAGGTTTAGATAAGGTCAAGGTTGGTTCACTTGTGGTTTAAGTGCCTCAAGTCACTAATAGAATACCAAGTTCACCTGTTCTCAGCTCTATTCATCCAAATTTCACTGAAATTTCATTTTTTCTGCTAAGATATGTTACAGGCCTAAAAATAACACCTGTGCATATGTTTTGTACTACATCTTCACAATGGTCAAGGTATAATATCTTCATCTTATACCTTGACTGCAACTGCCCACATTCTGGTTTTTGATGATTTGATTGTACGCCCGCGAATACAACCAATCAGAGCCCTTGATTTCATGCATATTTTTTTTTACAGTCTTTCCGTTGAGGGCTTAGATTACCTGTATTCGCTAGTGTACAATCCAATCAAATTGCTGCATTCACAAACTTACATGAAACAAGAAAGTAGGCCATTAAAGTCAAGGCATAAGATGAGATGTAATACCTTGACCATTGTGAAGATGATGGTACTGGTTAAACTTAGATCTATCATTTTGATCTCACTTGTCTGAGATTATCTTGAAAGATCTTGGCATTATTAACTTGATTGGGACACCTTATAATCTTGATAAATGATAACATTTTTCATCGTAACACCTAACCCTTAACAAAGCAAAAGTGGGAGCAGAGTCCATCTTCAAGTTTAAATAATGCATGTTACTTTTTGCATTAAACACATGTGATTCACATGTTGAGTTGACACTAAATATAACAGATAAGAGTTTTATTTTCTGAATAAGTGAGAACGGTTTGTTGACCCTTCATCCTTTTTCTTAGAACTTTATCACAGGTTTTTTTTAAACAGAAACTCTTGTGTTTGATCATTTCTGGAAGTTATTTTTGCTGTGTGGGTCATTCATAATACATTTTAGGATCTCAATCTCTGTATTTCTACCATTCAAAATTTAATTGCTTCTGAAAATGATCTTTGCTAGAATGCAAATTTTCTATGTGGTATTATAGGAGTTTAAATTTCAAACACATAGAAAGAGCGTTTGTGCATTCATAAAATATTGAGGTGGTTGAATAAAAGGCTAAAATGAATATAGGTTTTGAAGGTTTTTTTAAATTTCAAATGCTAAAAAAAACTATATTTTTAAAGATCTATCTTATCTATCGTTTGAAAAACAGTTGATGACATTCAAATTTGAAAATGTCATGAGTCAGACATGAACAAGGCCACATCATTATATAAATCATGGTCAGCTAGCTTACTGGTGGTTTATTTTTAGAACTTACATAAAGAGTATGTAAAATGTAAACAAGAGTCAGCTGATAAACTAAGCTGTTTCCTCTATATCTAGATATTTATAGATCATAATAACTACTGAATAATATACCAATAATATAGGTTTCGTTTGTTATCGATGTGGACTTTGTATGTCTGTTGATGCAATGACGAGTTAAAATGCTTATTTTTCCAGGGCATCAGGTGTTCCAAAAAGTTGAGCATGCCCTGATTCAGTAATAGAGTTATGGTTATGGATCAATGTCAATATCATGCTTTTAAGAGAACTCAAAATGTCAATTAAAATATGCTTTTGAACACTATTGCTAAACTTATAGCATTTAATCTAAGACTAACAAAGAATTTCTGATGGAGGTTATATATAACCGTTGAGGTTTTGAGGTCAAGGTCAAGTGTTAGGAGCGGGGCTTTTAATACACCAAATCTGTACTCAGAGTTCAATCATGCAATAAACGTCCACCAGTCACCCATATCAAGCTTGTGGATCCTTTGAACTGATAGCATCAATTTGCCGCATTCCAAATGTCAATCAGAAGACTGTGGTTCCTGCAATTCCACTAAAACTAAGTGTTTGATGACGGCACTAATCGCACAGGGCCTTATGTGATACTGTATATATTGCAGGACCTACAGACGTCAGACTGAAAATTGGAATGGTGCAAATTTAGGTTTTGGAAAACCTCTTTACAATCCCTTTCAGAAACTGGTAGGTATCAGCAAGTATAAAGTATGAATATGTACCCTTGATTTTTATCTCAAAAATAAATTTAACTCTGATGCTCCTTGAGATATAACACCCACAAACATATGTAAGCCTACCAGCCTACCAGCCACAGGGCAATAATCTCTCAGTGAGTACACTGTGTGAAAAACAAGCTGATTAAAAGGTGATAAAGAGAAGTGTGGACAGTTTACGAGTTGAATAAACCCTGCTAAAACCTTCCAATTAGTTCAGCTTTATCCATTGTGATCTTATTTCACATTTCATCATATGTCATCACACTTGTGTTCAAATTCAAAACCTACTGTGGGACTGTCATATGGTTCAAGGTGGGGTATGGAAACTCATCAATGTATGAACAATATCTGTCACATTCAGTGCTTTCAAAAGTAAAGCTTGCAACGTTCTAATTCCAGCCATAGGAAAAATCAAACTGAGGGCTAGATTTCTCAATGAATGAGACCAAACTTTATTTTCAACAGAAGCTCTATAAGTTATAACATTACTTTATAATGTACAACATGATAAAGATTACCAAATCCATCATACATCGCTCTGGGCTGAACAAAATATGACTTAGAGTTTGTACATTTTTGGATTTTGTTGTTTGGGTTTTTTTAAATTTCTTCTCTTTCATGTCATAAACACAATAACAATATAGCTTAATGGAAGCTAAAGATAAACCATGGCTTGTATAAATAATTATAACCAACACCATAACAGCTGAAAATTTTCCATAGCAGACGCAGTTCTAAATAGCCATCTGCTTATATAAGATTTATCCTGTTGACAATTTGAACTGAGGAAATTCATAATCTATTCAAAGTCAATGCAGCAAACCAGACAAATTTTTATCTTGGTAAACAGCTGGTGTTTAATTTGGCAGGTCAAAGGTTGCTGGGTTAATTAAAATATTGATTTAATGGGCTATGCAGTGTCAAATTGTTGAGGTGACAAAATGGCTAGTGTTGATTTTAAGGGTGGTTTGATAGTGTTATAAATACTGCATTTTATATAGAGTTGACAAGACAAATAAATGGTGATTGTATTGTTTAATACTGGGAGGAAATCTTAGGAGTTCCAACACCTTTCTGTGCACATTAGTTACCTGGTTAATGCTTAGTAGCAAAGTGATGTCCTTAATGCATCAAACATTGACATTTCATAAATGTTCAGACTGAGGGAGATCTTGTATGTAGTCCTCCAGAAATTTAAAATAAAAAGATGGCAAATTTTCACACAACTGATTTTGCTTGCAACTGGTGTTTAATCGATCTGATGACATAGTTGCTGATCAGTTACCATCAAATGTTTGGATCTGACCTACAATCTAAGCATTCACAATCTGCAATCATCCAGTTGATGACAGTTGTTGCTTTGTTAACATCAGCATGAAACTTCATGGATCTATTTAGATTCTGTGAATTGACAAGTAACTTGAGCCTTGATACCAGCATCCTTAAGGTTTTGAAAAGAACTAAGTATTTGTTCAGCTGTCCAATAAGTACAAAAAAGATACTAAAATAGATTTCAAATGTGCCTAACCTAAAATTTATTGTATACTTAAACTCTTGAAGTACAGTGCATTTTTAATTAATGAATTAACATACGTAGGTTGTAGAGTAAATAAGTTCACAT